GGCTCTGGCCGCGCATACTCAATCAGCTCCGCTCTCGCCCACCTCGTACAAAAGGCTGTATTTTCTACCAATTACAAGGCTTATCTCTGCGGGGTGATCCACTTGTTTGGCCCATCAATAAAAGTACTGTGGTTTTTGTTGTCTCAGGAGTATCAAAGGAGCCATCCACTTGATAGCATGTAAAAGGTCAACAGCAGCACCATGGACTTACTGAAAGCAGCTGCTGAGACGGGAACATAAAGCAGAGTTTACCTTCCTGCAGACACTAAAGGGAAACACTTTTAAAATGTTGTCTTTTAAACAGAGATGCCAGCAGGCTGCTATTATGAAACACTGCCTGATTGTAGATAGTGTTAACAAATTCAGCTACGCCACTTGCATTCAATGTTAAAACCAATATTCTTTCTCTAGAAGCTCATTTTTCACAGTTAATAAATGAATGAAAATAATTCCCCATTCCTTTAAATGTTACCATATATTTTAGATACTCACCATAAATTAGTAATGAAGTTGGATTTTCTTTTTTTAAAAGATATAATTTAGGCCAACAGTGCCTTTTATTAATGAGACTGTTTTAAAAGGGGGAAAAAGAGGGGGTGACATGCGTAAATGGTCCCAGGCCGGATTCAAACCTGGGTTTACCAGGTGAGCTATAAGGCAACCCCGAATGAAGTTTGATTTTTAAATATATTACGTTATTATTACAGTTTAGACCAGGGGTGTCAAACTCAAATACACAGTGGGCCAAAATAAAAAAATGGGTACTAGTCGAGGGCCGGACTGGTTCAATGTTTATTGCAAACCTTATTGAAATGAACTTATTGCACATATTAAACCTGGAACTAACTAAGCTTAAATGATTGCCTATAAAAACAACATTAAACATTAAATAATCAGTTGCATTCATTTCTTATGGCTCTATCTGCAGCTTTTCCAGAGTCATTTCTTATGATTACATTTTCCCACAGGCCAACAACAGCTTCAAAAAAACCATTTCCCTCAAAGAGAAAACCAAACATGCCCTGTTGTCGTGAGAAAGAAAGTGCAGAAGGAAACATCCATGTAAACTCAGTTTGCTGCTCTGTGATGCTAGTTCAAGCCAGATACTTGGCATCTCATCTCGGGTGCAAGTTCATCAATGTTTGGGGTCAGGCTCTGAGCGGAGGAAACCCTCAGGATTGAGTGAAGGTGTGCGTGCAATATACCGGCAGGCCAGATCTAATAGTAATTTAAAATTATCCTGCGGGCCGAAATTAAATCCACCAAGGGCCTGATTTGGCCCCCGGGCCTTGAGTTTGACACATGTGGTTTAGACCGACAACCAGGCACCATTGTCAAACTGTTTTATCTACATTTGTGAGAGTTGGATCTATTACAATAAGATACCTTTCAAAACATCAGCACTTTAACTGAATATTCAATAAGAAAAGCAAAAAACAAAGGTGCATTAGACTAAAAAGCGTTATAAATTCCCAGTGGGATAACTCATTTTCCGCCAATTTAACTCATACAGACTCACAAGATCGAGATAACATTCACAACAAATACACAGTATAACACATAAATAACACGATAAAGAGCCATAGATTAAAAGCTCAAAATAATAACGCTGTTGGAATATAAATGTCCTGAGAATATGTACTCAAATACAAGTTCCCAGGAAGACAACCCTCAACTAATTAACATATTGTAAAATATGTATTTCAATTTAAGTACGAAAATATAATATATTTTCTAAAATGAACTTAATATCTTTGAAAATAGATTTGAATTTATAGTTAAATTCTGTATGTATGAACCATGAAAAGTAATGTAAAAAGAGACTTATTTTTTGTCTCCTCTTGTGGTTTCCACTATCTCTAAACCACAAACTGTTTTCCTGCTTGTTAAAGTAAACCCAGGAGAATATTATTTCTCCAGCGATGCTCTCCCTCCCGACATTAATGATTGTTGTAGCAGATAATAGCTCTAATGAAGCAAAGAAGTGGTTTTAAATCCAGAGGTGGAGGGAACATTTTAATCAGCGCTTGAGGTTATCCTCTTTGTCTTTTGTTCTGCTTTCTTTGACAGCAGTTCAGCTACTTTTTTTATCAGGACCTTTTGGTTAAAGAAAAATCCCTTTTATATCTAGAGAGAATGAAGTGGATGAGATGCAATCATAAACTAACTGCAAAGCTATTTCTGGCTCTATATAGGATCAATTTACATTTAAAAGTGATGTACTTTTTTGTTTAAAACATTGACGACACTTTGTTTCCACTGCCTGGATGATAAACCTTTTTTAACTGAGACGAGCGGCTCTTTAGCTCGGTCCTTTCAAAGACCTCTCCCCACACCAACGTTTTTTCCCAGCAGATGAAGGTGAGGTTGTGTGTGAATGCATGAACACTTGGACTTGTGCACGTACGTGGTTGCAGCTTTTTCTGCTACTTAATTTGTTATCCATTTGGTAAAAGCAGTGTCTTTGATGTTGCAAAAGACAACATTGTTGAATGGAGTGCTGCAGCACAATTAACTGAGCTCAGATTGACCAACAAAATGTGATTTATATTAATCTCCTCCTCTAATGCTTGCATCTACGTGTACACTTTGCTATCCTCATCTTATTGGGCTGTTGTTGGAAACGATAGCATTAGTTTAGATGTGATTTTTGCCACAATACTGCTTCAGTCTAACATGCAACAGGTGAACATGAACGTTAAAGGTGGGGTAGGTAATTTTGGAGAAACCAGCTCGAGTGTGCTAGAATTTGAAAATACACAGCCGGAAAAAATCTGCCACTTCCTTACAGAGCCCCTCCTCCAATACACACGAACGCGCACATGACCAATGAGGGCACGAGATAAGTTTGTGCACAGATGGAAGGCTGACAGGCAGGTAGGCCATCCAGTTATTTTAGCCGGGCCGGCTCAGATGATTGGTCGTGCTTTTTACAGTATTACGGCTTCCACAGATGACATTTTTATATGGATTTTTTGTCAAAGCACTTCAGATATTCATTGCTATCGGGATGTTAAGAGCATTCCATGGAATGTAACAAAAAGTGTATCTCGAGCCGGTTTCTCAAACTTACCTACCCCACCTTTAAGTGTCCAATGAAACAAATACAAAGTTATCTGTGATCATGTTACTGTGCTGTTAAGGCTTGCACAACGAGTCAGGAAAGGCCACACCCAAAATAAAAACATCTGCTTTTAAACTTTCTTCCAATGAGAAAACACGCTTTGGCTCAAGGCCTGTTTTTTCCCACTGCTAACTGCCTTACATATCATATTTGATTTTACATTTCCACAATCACAGCCTCTGGCAAGCCTTACGCTCAGTTCCATGTGTTTTTCTTTTCTGCTACACGTTGAAAAAACATATCCTCACCCTCCTGGGATACATAGATAACTTGCGATATGTTCAGCGCTGTAATAATCTTCTCCTGGTCCAACAGCACAGCTTTATTACTGGCCCTATATCTTGCCTCCATATATGAAATGAAAACAGGACTTTGTTGGAAGTTGTATTTTATTTCCTGTGTGTCTGTGTGGGACTTGTTTGTGTATCTAATCATTGAACCGATAAAAAACATTTATTGGTGTGTACAAACGAGGACCATACAGTATATGCTTGTAAGGAAGGCTTTATGAAATGACATACAGCATAATAAAAGCTTGGCAGAGGGAATGAAAGAGGGTTAGCAATATTGCTTTATCTCTTTTTGGGAGATATATAGTACAAAGGAAGTAAAAAGAATTGAAACCAGCACTCCTTCCTTTGGTTCCCTACAAGCTCTGATCTCAACAATAGATTATTATTCCTTCTTCTGCTGCTGACACCCATTGTTTGATGAAGTGTGTAACTTTAACAGCTCTGTATGTACGGGCGTTAACATGTTTTTCTTCAGCAAGCAAGACAGCAGTGAATTCATGTTTTTATATACTGTATTTCCGTCCCTGCACATGTGGAGACTCTATCTGTGTGTTTTATCTATGCCTTTCTATGTGTGCACCACACTTTCCAAAGTACACTGCACTACATAAAGCCTCCGTACCCCCCCGGTGTGTTTTTCACAGGCGGGTCCAGATCTCCTCCCTCACCTCGTCTTTTAAGTATGCATTTGTTCCCTCCGCCTCATGAATAAGACTTGAATAAGAATCATGTAGAACGTGAAGCTGGCTGGCTATGGCTCTTTATCCACCGTCAACGATAGACTGGTCTTATACAAGCAACCACATCACTGCATATAAATATGTTATGATCTCTGCATATTCTTCAGACTCTCATCCATTCATGTAAATCAGATTCACTGACTGACTATTTTTTTTTCTTATTTTGTTTGTTTATTTCCATAACATAGGGAAATGTAACACTAGCTTTAGCTTGAAAATACATAGATGTGTTTTTTTATCTATAAAATAAATAGACAGACAGACAGACACTTTATCGATCCCAAATTGGGAAATTATTTTGTTACAGCAGCAGTGTGTTCAGGTATTAAAATATAAAACATTTGAATAAAGTATAAACTTCACAACACAAGTGTAATGCACAGCAATCCATAAGATGAGTCCGATATTTTCATGAAACCTCACCAGGAAGCACCAACACAAACGTGGCTGAGTGGACTCCGAAGTTTGCTGCATGAGTTGCACTGTACAATCCGTGGTCTAGTGAGCTGTCACTCAAAAACTGAGTAGCCAATGGGGACGCACCCCTGACAGTCCCGCCCATCTAAGATGTTTGTGCCAGAATCGCAAACAAAAAATGACGGAGCACAAACGAGAAGAGCTGCAGCGAGAGCAAAAGTCTGATCATTGAGAAAGAAACAAAGAGAACTGCAAAAAAAAAAAATGTAAAACAAAGAAAAAAGACTTATAGTTTACATTATTTGTTTGGAACTTATAGTTGTACTTTTGAAATTAAATGTATTTTGCTTGACTCAGTTTTTCTTTCTCTTAAACTCTTAGTTTTGCTTGATTCTGAGAAAGTGTTGCTTTATCTTAATGGCACAAAACTGATTCCATACCAACAGGGAAGGACATCAAACGCGGAAGTTAGAAAACAGACGGACTGCCAGACTCCGTTTTAAACTTCAACAGAGCAGCAGAAAGAAAACAGGGTGAGTGTTAAAACCAGGCTCCGCTGTTTTTGTCTAAACAATTCATGTTTACTCTGTTTTACTTTATCTCAGAAAAACACAGTCTCGATAAAAAGCAACGTCCGATGTGGCATATTGAAATGTTGTAGGCCTTAACTTCCCCCTTCACGTCCTTGTTAGAACTGCGCCATCATGGTTACATAACTATACAGACGACGTATTTGTTGTTGTTTACACTAGTGGTGTTAGTTGATTTAAAACAAAAAAGTAATCGCGTAAATCACGATCATAAACTGTGATTAATCTTCATAGCCTAAATCAGAAGTTTAAAATATTAGTAGGCATTTTAACTTGTATTTTGGAGAGATATATAACAAACAAAACGTGTGTTGTAGTCTCATAAAGCGGTCCATGAAAAACTGCTGAGAGAAATAAGGGGTGTTTTCGCTTTATTATAACATCTCAGCTAAGTTATGATGATTTCTGAATTATTGGCATGACGTCTGAGCATATTGGAGCACTATCTGCTCCTAACGTAGTGACCTGTCCATTTCCTGGATTCAGCATAATGCCACCCCTCCGTTTCACCAGACCTAAAGAACGAGTGCACAACATTTGTCATGGATTAAATGTGCTTTTACACCGAGGTAGTTACAGCTCTTACTGATTTCTGGAGGTGGAAGAAGTACTCAGATCTTGTACTTGAGTAAAAGTAGAAGTACACAGATATTTTAGAACTACCAGAGTGTAGGAATACTCTGTTACTTACTGTTAAGTAAAAGTCCTGAATACAAAATGTTACTAAAAGTAGAAAGTATTAGCATCAAAATATACTTAAAGTACCAAAAGTAAAAGTAGTCATAGTGCAGATTGGTCCATTTCAGAATAATATATATGATATATTTTTATAATGATTGATCATTAAAGTGTTATCAGTGATGCAGCTAGTTTTATGGCTTTGTATACTGCAGGGTAGCTTGTGAATTTACTCCAGGTGGAACTAAAGTCTGATTTAAGAGCTGATTATATTTCACATCATTAATCAAAATCTGTAAAGTAACTAAAGGTATTAAACACATGTAGTGTAGTAAAAGTACATCATTTACGTCTGAATTGTAGTGTAGTGTAGTGTAGTGTAGTAGAAGTACAAAGTAGCGGAATATTGAAATAAAGTACAGGTCCCTCAAAATTGTACTTAAGTACAGTACTTGGTTCTAAGTCATCATTAAAAACTCACCTGTTCACCATGGCCTTTGACCCCTAACTAGCGCTGCACGATATATCGTGTTGTGACGATAATCGCGCTATGCGCATGCGCGATATTCACATCACAGGACGTGCAATTTAAAAAAAAAAGAAATTAAATTATTTATTTAAAAAGCTTGTTGCTCTGATAACTTAAGATCCAGACGTCCGTGACTAAAATCCTTCATCCGGTTGAATATAGTTAAAAAAATACCAATTGTATAGCATTAAAGTTCAAGAAAGGATGGTTTGCAGAAAAAAAAAACGGTCTTTTCTTCAATTCCTGTATTTTTTCATATCGCAATATATATCGCAGGGGGGAAAAAATCGCAATGTCAGTTTTTTCCAATATAGTGCAGCCCTACCCCTAACCCATCACAGCCCCCCTGCTTCCACTCCTACTGCTATTTATTAAACATTATGTTTTTACTTTATTATTTGCCACTTTTAGTTGTTTGTTTGTTTGTTTGTTTGTTCACCATGTAAAGCGGCCTTGGGTCCCTTGAAAGGCGCTATACAAATGTAATCTATTATTATTATTACTTGATTAAATGTACATGTAGCTTGTTAGTGTTCCTCACTTTCCTTGACTTTCACTGCCATGCAATTCATGTTAAAATTCCCGCTGGAATTACGAAGGAAGTTTGGGGGAAACTTGGTAATATGATTAATTTTTTGTAATTTTTTTGACACATTAAGGTTTGCAGATTATTTGCATCCATTCATGTTTTTTTTTGACAGCACAAATTTAAACCAAAATGTATCATTATGATAGATTTGATTGAAATGCTTGTATTATAAAGTGTGTGTGTTTATGTATTTGTCTCCAGGGTTACTAGTTCATCTCTCACAATGGAGACCATGAGAGATGAGGAGGAGGACACATCTTCAGTGTCCAGAAAACCTCCAGATTTGAGTAATACACCTGGACCCTCTGACACAAAGTAAGAATCTGTTTCTGCTGTAAACTGACCTGAAGAGGAGTCTGGTTTGATCTGAGTAGCAGATCACAGTATATAAACACAGTAAAGCATCACTGTGGAGTACAGTCATGAAACAAAGTAAATTAGAGTAAAGAAACCCGGAAGAGGAAAGTAAAGAGGTGTAACTGAGCTCTGGCTGTGCTCCTTGGCATCATCAGCAACAGTCAGTAATCTACTATTGTGAAATCATTCTCACATTCGAGATGTAGGACTTTGTGTTAGGTCAAGTAAATCAACTTCGAACATGTCAAACGTTTCCCTCTCACAAATGAATTCTAACAACCGAAACCCTGAAACACGACTTAAAAACTGAAAGTTCAGAGCAAGTCCAAAAATCTTTAATAACGTAAACGGGCTGAAATCAAAAGCTGCCCGTTACAAGAACTAGTGATGTGTGTTAAACATTTTGTTGTTTCCAAACGGCCCAAAACTTCACAGGTTTGGTAACGATGCAGCCATCAACGCATCTAAGCGTATTATGGGGTGTCATCAAATGCCGTTGCCAGGGCGACAGACCACTCGCCATGAAACACGATGTCGCTGTAAGTCCAATGGACACGGTCCAATCGTCCCCCAATCTTCACTTGTATATCACCGGTCCATGCCTCAACAGCTCTACACCAAATCTGAAATCTCACCATATGCCGTTTCCATGGAAACGCATCCCTCGCCATAAAACACGATGTCCCTTTAACCTGTTCCACTCTGAGCCTGTTTTTCAGGTCTCAGGCTCGAAAATGACATTCCCAGAACAAATGACCATATCTTCCCTTCTAAAAGGGTTAAATTAATAATCTTTGTTCTCAAAGTAAGGATAAACCTGTGAGTTGGATGTAGAAGTGTCAGAATCAATATAAATGTTTTTTATTTTAAAGAAAATTCAGATTTTACATAGTAAAAAACTGTAAATTATAGTGTCCGTCCAAAAATTATTTTTTACAGATAGTGAAAACTACCCTTGGATGATGGGTTAGTAGACTAAAAGCTTTAGGAATCCAAAGTACAACATATAATAAGTACCCTGTATCAAGATTGATGCAAAACAAGTGAAATTTGACCTTTTTAGAGAGATTTAGCCAAAAACCCCCACTTTTGGGGTCATTTGGGTGGATTTGACCTATCTCTGGCCCCCCTTGGTCGATTTGGTTGGTTGACATACCCTTGTGACCGTTAGAGCCAATAGAATCGAAGGGGGAGGCCCACTCACACACACGTTGTAAAGAAAAAATGTGGGCGCTTCGCGTGTGGAAAACGAAACCAAAGTGGAGGAATGTCTCCTTCTGGAGTTTGGAAACTAAAACGCAGTTGTATTGCTTATGGATTATCAGAAATAATTTCAAAGAAGGCACAGACACATAGGATGAACCTATGGATTAACTGCAGCATCGTTTTTTTATCGTTTTAATGCCATTGAAGACCACTTTTGACCAAGGTAAGCTATATTTACGTTTTTTAGCTACTTAGCTCCACATGTGATGATGTACGCTTTCGTTTATAGCGTCGCGAATGTTTATCACTGAGTATTGAGGTTTTTTACACAGATTCAGTGTCTCCAGGACACCAAAAACGAGTGGTTGGCTGTGCATCTAGGATAAGTAATAAGGGAGTTATGAGTGAGTTTAAGTGCCTTTGTAGGTTCCGTTTTTTCGATCGAGGCTAATTCAGAGGCTGAGTGCTAGCATTGTGGGTTTTTTTTGAAAAAAAAAATTAAAAAGATCAGTTAGCTGAGTTTCTTTCCCGTTACATGGATATAACACATTCATAGTTTTATTCAATATTAAGATTCCTTAGACGTTGTTTCCTGCAAATGACGCGTTTATCCGCCCGGTACCGGGGGGATGGTGTGAAACAGGTTAACCTGTTAAGCCCGAGAGACCCCGGTACCGAGGCACTGCCGCAACATCTTGCAGGAAACAGTGTCTGAGGGTATGTTCATTTAATAAAACTATGAATGTTTTATATCCATGTAACGGGAAGAAACTCATCTAACTGATCATTTTTTTTTTTTTTTCAAAAGAAAACCCACAATGCTAACACTGAGCCTCTGAATTAGCAACGAGCGAAAAATGCTAACACCTTACTGCACCGAAAATCACTCACAAAACCTTATTATTGATCTTTTCACCACATCCAACACATCGATTCACATCGTGAGGTGACACAGAATCTATTGACACCGACATTACCACTGAATTATACGTATTTGCGACGTTATAAGCAAAAACGGACATCAAAACAGGTGACGCTAGGTAGCTAAAAATGCTAACATTTTTACCTTGGCTCTGTAGTCTCTCCAAAGTGGTCTTCAATGGCATTAAAACGATAAAAACGCTGCTGAAGTTAATCCATAGGTTAATCTAATGTGTCTGTGTCCCTTTGAAATGATTTCTGATAATCCATAAGCATGAAAACTGCTTTTCTGTTTCCAGATGTCAAAGCTAGAGATAGGTTCACTCTGATTGAAAATTACATGCGCGAAGCCCCCACCTTTTCTCTTCACAACGTGTGTGTGTGGGGGACTCCCCCTTTCGATCCTATTGGCTCTAACGGTCAGAAAGAGGTGTCAACCATCAAAATTGAGCAAGGGGGGCCAGAGATTTTGAAAATCCACCCAAATGACCCCAGAAGTGGTTTCTTTTTGCTAAATCTCTCTAAAAAGGTCAAATGTCACTTGTTTTGCATCAATCTTGATACAGGGTACTTATTATATGTTGTACTTTGGATTCCTAAAGCTTTTAGTCTACCTTACCATCAACCAAGGGTGGTTTTCACTATAAGTAAAAAATTATTTTTGGACGGACACGATAATTTACAGTTTTTTACTATGTAAAATCTGAATTTTTTTTTAAATAAAAAACATCTATATTGATTCTGACTTTTCTACATCCAACTCACAGGTTTATCATTACTTTGAGAAAAAAGATTATTAATTTAACCCTTTTAGAAGGGAAGATATGGTCATTTGTTCTGGGAATGTCATTTTCGAGCCTGAGACCTGAAAAACAGGCTCAGGGCTTAACAGGTTAACTCCTATGAAAATGTTCAAAAAGTGCTCAAAATTCACATGTGTGCTAACAGTCCAGCCGTGAAGACATCTACAAGACAGTTTTGAGATTTCTTCAAATGCCGTTGCCATGGCAACACAATCCTCGCCATGAAACACGGTTTTCTCATAACTTCAGTGAAAATGCTTCAAACGGCCCAAAACTTCACAGGTTTGGTAACGATGCAGCCATCAACGCATCTAAGCGTATTATGGGGTGTCATCAAATGCCGTTGCCATGGCAACAGACCACTCGCCATGAAACACGATGTCACTGTAAGTCCAATGGACACGGTCCAATCGTCCCCCAATCTTCACTTGTATATCACCGGGTCCATGCCTCAACAGCTCTACGCCAAATCTGAAATCTCACCATATGCCGTTTCCATGGAAACGCATCCCTCGCCATAAAACACGATGTCCCTTTAACCTGTTAAGCCCGAGAGACCCCGGTACCGGGGCACTGCCGCAACATCTTGCAGGAAACAGTGTCTGAGGGCATGTTCATTTAATAAAACTATGAATGTTTTATATCCATGTAACGGGAAGAAACTCATCTAACTGATCATTTTTTTTTTTTTTTTCAAAAGAAAACCCACAATGCTAACACTGAGCCTCTGAATTAGCAACGAGCGAAAAATGCTAACACCTTACTGCACCGAAAATCACTCACAAAACCTTATTATTTATCTTTTCACCACATCCAACACATCGATTCACATCGTGAGGTGACACAGAATCTATTGACATCGACATTACCACTGAATTATACGTATTTGCGACGTTATAAGCAAAAACGGACATCAAAACAGGTGACGCTAGGTAGCTAAAAACGCTAACATTTTTACCTTGGCTCTGTAGTCTCTCCAAAGTGGCCTTCAATGGCATTAAAACGATAAAAACGCCAAATCTGAAATCTCACCATATGCCGTTTCCATGGAAACGCATCCCTCGCCATAAAACACGATGTCCCTTTAACTCCTATGAAAATGTTCAAAAAGTGCTCAAAATGCACATGTGTGCTAACAGTCCAGCCGTGAAGACATCTACAAGACAGTTTTGAGATTTCTTCAAATGCCGTTGCCATGGCAACACAATGCTCGCCATGAAACATGGTTTTCTCATAACTTCAGTGAAAATGCTTCAAACGGCCCAAAACTTTCACAGGTTTGGTAACGATGCAGCCATCAACGCATCTAAGCGTATTATGGGGTGTCATCAAATGCTGTTGCCATGGCGACAGATCATTCACCATCAATTTAGTTCAAAAGTTTGCAGTTCAAATATTCTGCTGCTTTTCCAAGCCTTTTTACTTTCTTTTCTTCACTCATCACACATGCAATCCCCCAGTGTTCATGTATCATTTCAATCTAAATTCTTCACTTTCTTCTTACACATTACATTTCAGCATAGCAGTTTAGCCTCAGCTTTTCAGCACAAAGCATTCCCACTAGCAATTTCTTCAGGAATTGCATTCTCTAGTTCATGCTGCTGTACATTTTACATTCATATTAAATGTAACATTGAATAATCCATTTCTTACAATAATGTCATAAAGAAGTGAAACAATCAGTCACTGTAATGTGCTATAAAGGATGTGTTCATCTCCACAGAGGGAAGAGGAAAAGTCATGTTCCTGTGGAGGAGCAGCTGTCCAGCTGTGCTCTGTGTCAGGACGTCCTGAAGGATCCAGTCTCTACCAGCTGTGGACACTGCTTCTGCAGACAGTGCATCACCTCATACTGGGAGCAGCAACCTCCATCAGGAGACTCCTCATGTCCCCAGTGTGGAGAAAGATCCAGAACCAGAGCTGGACTGCAGACAGCCAGTCAGACCAGAACAGTACAAAGTAAGTCTTAAAGCTCCAATGTCATGGTTTTCCGGTTATTACCCGTCCCCTTGTGTGTTATGAAGGTTTTTATGCATGTAAACGGTGTGCAGAGTCAAAACCCTCAAAGTACACCCTGTAGCGAGTAAAACTCTAACACAGAAAATACCTCCCCAAAACGCCTCGTTGGAGATACGTCACTGCCCATTTGAGTCTTCCATTTAGTTCCGGGTACGGCATGATGTCATGCGGTACCCGGAACGAAATGGACCAATCCCGAAGAGCTATGGCCACACCCAGCGGCGCTGGCCGCACCCTCTGCCAGCCTAACATTTACTGTTGGAAGCTCTGGTTCAGTTCACAATCGATCCAGTCATGCCAATGCCAAGGACCTGTTTCCTGAAATGTGAGGAGAAATCTGAGCTGTTTGTCCTACCGACGGAAGAACCACGACGAAGTCAGTGGTTGAAATGTCTTTTTAACACTGTTCCTTCAGAGGTTAGAAGAACGTTACTGTGTGCGCGGCATTTCACAGACGAAAGCTTCCAAAACATTGCCCAGTTTGAGGCCGGATATGCACAGCATTTGAAACTGAAGGACGATGCTATTCCTAGTTTGTTTGGACCGTTTGGAGCAGGGGAAGATTCGGGTACACAACCTGTAAGTTTGCATTGTTATTTGTGTATTTATCAAACCTGTTTAAATGTGTAAACTGTGTCGGACTGCTAAGCCATTGACACAGTGCTAACTGTGCTAACTAAGTTGCTAGCGTTTCCATATATCGACTCTAATATCAGCAGATGGCCTTACATACATGCATTGGGCGTTTCTATGATTGTACAAACTGAACTGGGGGGGCAGAGAGAGGTGGGGGGGAGAGAGAGAGAGGTGGGGGGGGAGAGAGAGGGGGGGGGGACACAGAGAGGGGGGAGGAGAGAGATAGAGAGATAGGGGGGAGAGAGAGAGGGGGGGAGGAAGGGTGTGCAGAGAGAGGTGGGGGGTGAGATCTTGGGGGGGACAGAGAGTGTTTTGGGGAGAGAGAGACTTCTTTTTTTTTTTTTGCTCTCTCTGCTTTTTTGTCCAATTACATACTGAAGACCCACAAGGGGCAACACTGTCAGCGCATTACCATTTTACGTACACTGTGTACGTAAATGTACGGTACACAGCGTGGGGATGTCATATTGTAATGCACCTATAATACATAAGTAAAGGGCACCATCACAAAGCAATTCTCAACAACAACAACAACCACCATAATGCTTTAGGCATTTAAAACACCATAGACTGTAAATATAAGGAAAACACAGACACTCATCACCGAGGTCACAATATCAATCGATCCAGCAGAGGCAAAACACAGAAGATCAACAAAATATATGACATAAATGAACTTACCAAAGCTGAAGGCTCACTTGAAAAGAAAAGCGGCACGGCGGTCCTTCCTCTGACAGAATGTTTCTATCACTTTGGGGATGAAGTCCTGTAGTTGCTGGATCAACTGGCTTTCAATTGAAAGCATGGCCAATGCGTTAAGTCGCAGCTGTCCCATGGTGTTGCGAGTGAAAGTCTTTATCCTTTTGAGGGTGGAAAAGTTCCTCTCTGACTCGGATGTCGTCATCGGAGTTGTTACTATTATTTTGACCAAAATAACAGTCTCAGCAAACGTATCCTCCAAGTTGTTCTCGTGAATGGATTTCAACAGAGACAGGGCAGTGTTTCCAGTGTGAAGTTCACTGTGGCGGTAGAGCGTGGTCAGCTCAGACTTCAACTTCTCCTTGTTTCCCAAAGCAGGCCACAATTTCACTGCGCAGTCAAGCTCAGGTGTAGGAAATGACAGGACATGCTGTGGGAAGAATGAGCTGTCAACGAGCTTTGCAGCGATCAAATGGTCACTCTGTGAGAACCTCTGTTCCACCTGTGAGATGACTGTGTCACATGCCTCCTTCATTACCGGCGCTGTGCTGCTGACTCGTCGGCCTGGCTCGTCTGTTCCATCATGAGTGGTGGCGGCCAATGCATCAGTTTGCTGCCTCATTTTCTGGACATTTTCCTTGAAGCGGCAGAGCGCGCTGTTGATCCCAGGTGCATCGATGGTTCGTTTTTGCAGAGTGTTGTATAAAACATCCACTTCTGGCATAAGCAACGAAAAAAACTCCAGGAGCTGCATAAATGCTCGGTCCCGCAGTTTCTTTGACAGGCCATATGCCTCACTTATGGTGACCGCATCCCATCCTGGTTGTGTGCGTATATGGTCCATACACTGAAGAAGTGCTTCTCGGGTCTCCCAAACCGCGTTCACAGTTCTGCTTTTAAAGTTCCATCTCACAGCCGGTGGCCGTGGTATGCGTCTCTGTGTTGCCTCTGCAAGAGCTGCAACACGTTTTGGAGCACCGGAGAAAAAAGTGGAAAAAGCAGTTAGATCTGCAAAAAACACCTTCAGGATGCTCATCCTTGCTGAACACAGTTGCTGCAGGGTCAGGTTCAGTTGGTGGGCGTAGCAGTGAACAAACTGAGCGTTTGGGTACGTCTCCTTCATGACCGTCTGTACCCCGCGCACGTTACCGCTCATGACGGCCGCCCCGTCATAGGTCTGAGCGATTAGCTTTTCTTTCAGCTTCAGGGTTCAAGAACAGCCTTGATGCTGTTAGAGAGACCTACACCAGTTTTGTCCTTTACTTCCACAAACTCCAAAAACGCTCTGTAACTGTGAGGTCAGGCATAATGTATCGCAGCACAATCACCATTTGCGATTTACATGAGACATCGGTTGTCTCGTCGGCCTGAACGGCAACAAATGATGTGTTGTCCACTTGCTTGGATATTTCCTCCCTGTACACATCATACATGCAGTCCAAGAGTTCATTCTGTATGGTGCTTGATGTCCCTTTGAAAACGGGCTGAGCTTCGTAGTGCCGTCGAAGCCTGGAATCGCCCTCACACATTGTCTCGAAAATTGACCTGAATATCCCTGGATTCAGAGAGTCCGCCGACTCGTCGTGGCCCCGCAGTGCTGTCTCACATTTCCCACACAGTTTAATACAGGTGATGATCCGACCCAACACGTACCTGTTTTCTTCCACCTTTCTATTATGATCATCAATGCCGCGTCTGTAGGCGCTGTCAATCTGAGCTGCAACATTCACCCTTCCCAGTAATCCCAATTTTACGGCATTTTCCAAGTGACTGTTGCTGCTCTCATGCTTCATTGTCCTCTCCGAAAGATGCTTTAAGTCCTTGTAACCTGTCCTCGACCAAGTACCTTGATCTTCACCAAAAAGCAGGCAAGGAAAGCAAAAGAGGGAATTCTTCTGGATGCTCGCCGTTAGCCATTTCTTTTTAGCAAACCACTCAGCATTAAACCCGCGGTTCACTTTGCCCGCAGTCTGGACCATTTGGAAATCCGGTGGATGGTGGGCACCGAGGCGCTTTACCTCCAGTTTCTCTCCGAGACTAAGTGTCTCAAATGTGTGCTCCAGTAAATGGTCAACTTCATTCATTTTCTTTCCGTTTTTTACTTATTTTTAATCGCTGGTGATGTTAGCTATATGCTGCTCTCTCGTCTTCTCTTCACACTACACGTGACGTTTCGCAGCACTGCACACGTGACATATTTACAGCCAATCAGTTCTGAATAATGTGAGCTGACGTATGGTGGGGATGGCAGCTCTGTGCCCCTTTGGCCTTTTTTTTTTTGCCACACACATTCCATTGAAAAATACTCTGAGCATGCGCAGTGTAGTTTTTACAGTCACCGTTCACTTAAACAGTGAGAGGGAGGGGCAGAATCAGGTTTTGTCCCACATGGCTCAAAACGGCACTGTAGACACTAATTAGAAGAACACAGACTAAAACAGCAATGTACAGACGAATCAGATGATTAAACATGACCTTAAAATATATTTTATATATTTTTTTATTTCTTTTTTTGCATCTTTTTGCATTTTTTGTTTTCATTATGTGTAATACTTTCTGCAGACACTAGGTGGGGCTGTGCCCCACCTGCCCCTAATGACCAGTCGCCACTGCATACATGTATCTCATAGCAGGAGAATGTCTGCATTCACACACGAAATACTCATAGACAGTATACTCCGGGTGATTTGCCGTGCGGTCAGTCGCGAAACGTAATTACATTATAGCTGGCGTAGCGTGTATGCTACCGAGCTAACCAACGGAGCTAGACATGGGTTTGCTCGGGAATTTTTTGTTTGTTATGCCAGCTACAATGAATGTAGCAGACTACCCGTATAAGATTGCAATTGTAAACACGTTCTTGCTAGCCTAATATGAATCACTAGCTTTTGTTCATAGTGGTTTTATTACACTAAACAAGCCCAGCTTACTGAGCTAACGACGTTGCTAGCGTTTAAATATATCAACTACAATGTCAGCAGATGGCCTTACATGTTTGTCATAGCAGGAGAATGTCTGCAGTCACACACGGAATACTCATACAGTATACTCCGGGTGATTTACCGTACATTGTGACAGTACATGTACATACTGCATGTATAGCTAACGAGGCTAGCTATACATGCTAGCGCAAAACAATGTATTCATGCCAGTTACAATGAATGACCGAACGTAGCAGACTACCCGTATAAGATTGCAATTATAAACACGTTATTGCTAGCCTAATATGAACCACTAGCTTTTGTTCATAGTAGTTTTATTACACTACATTATAGTTGCCGTTCCTCCGAGCTAGCGTTCATATCGTGTTAGCTACCAAAGTAAACAAAGCTAGGTTAGCATATTAGCTGGCAAGCTTACTGTGTTCATTAGATAGATGGATTAGATAGATCCACACTCCTACCACAACTACTACTAACGAATCTAAAACAACTAAGTTTCTCTAATATTTTGTGATTTGCATTTGATTTCGTCCAGCCAGATCCTGCCGGACAATACATGACGGGACTACCACACTGATGCATCGTCCTAAAAAGCCCCGGCTGCAATAGGCAAGATGCCGACAACGGGGAGGAATTGATGATATACCGTGTATATATGTATATTTATGTTCATTTTGTACATTTCTAAAAATAAAGTTTAATGGAAATACTTAGTAGGCCTATCCTTTCTTCCCTGAATTATTTGCTCCTATAACCAGGGGTGCACACAACTTTCTCAGTGAGGTACTCAGATGAGTACCTGGAGTCAGTGCTTGGTACTCCAACTTCTGGTGATTGTCAATGGGGGGGGGGGGGTGGTAGTGGAGTACAGCGCTTCGCGATTGTCAACGGGGGGGGGGTAGTGGAGTACAGCGCTTCACGATTGTCAACGGGGGGGGGTGGAGTACAGAGCTTCGTGACCGCGGTACGTGTGAACGTTGTGATCAGCTGTTTTAGCGCAGGGCTGCTGTACAGACCGACATTAACAGCAGCCCTGTCTGTGCACACGGAGACCGACTCTGTCGTCCGGTGATCTAACCGCCTTCTGGAAAAGCTTCACAAGTACGTCGGTACGCAAATGTGCTTTGTGACACAAGTTACGGTACGCATTTCAGATTGTTGCCGCGCATGCGTACCTGCGTACCAGTTATGTGCACCCCTGCCTATAACATATCATTCATATATAGCAAACCATGATTTGATTTCTCATCAAACAGTAGTAGTTTATTACAGGTAAAAATAACTTACTCTTTGTTATGACCGGCTCGTAGGCCACAACGGAAAGACAAGGAGACATACACGAGTTTACAAAACCACGGCACATTTATTGTGGTAAATGCAGAGATAGGTGGTCGAGGGGAGAGGATCGCCGAGTTCGTCCTTCTGCAGCCGCTTTGGAGAGAGACAGGGGCCGCCGTGTGACTCCGGGCAGCTGGGCTTAAAAGCACCTCGGCTCCGGCCAGGTGTCCGTGATCGCGCTGATTAGCCTCTTCAGCTCCACCCCATCGTAAGACCTGCAACACACCTGCACAAAGGCCCTGGGGCCGTCACACTCTTCTATAACAACAGTTGTAGGTACAGTTCGGTTAGTTAGCGTATAAAATATACGGCTGTACCGACGCCATTATAAGACTGATGTTCCGAGAGCGAGCCGAAAAAAGCAGTTAGACATGGGCGGAGCCTCTCTGGTGGTTGACTAATCAGAACAGAGTGGCCGAGCTGACCAATCGGAGCACACTAGGCTCACAGGGAGGGGGGGGGCAAGAGCTCCAACGAGTCGTTTAGTGGAGAGAGTGAATACTGCTGAATACACATACTTTACAGAGATGCTGTATGCGAAACCAATGTGAGTTTGGAAAATTGCACAGTATAAATCTATTTTAGTATACCTCAACAATGTAATTATGATCAGTGGAAATGGCCATGACATGGGCCCTTTAACATCTGTCCCCTGGTGTCTTCATGCCTGAAAACAGGATTCTTCCTGTTGTGTTGTACATAATATAAGTTCATTTAAAACATTTTCATTATTCTCACGTTTCCTTCTCCTGCAGCGGAACGTGGTCTACAGGAGGTTTCAAATGAACATAGGGTCAGTCTGAGGGGGAGATGTGAACAAGTGACTGAAGGAACTGATAAAAGTGAAACCAGCCTCAACAGGATCTTCACTGAGCTCTACATCACACAAGGCCAGAGTGAAGAGGTTAATACCCAACATGAGGTGACGCAGCTTGAGGCAGCTTACAAGAAAAATACCCTCCATTACACTCCAATCAAGTGCCAGGACATCTTTAAAGTCTCACCTGACCAACAGACACACATCAGAGCGGTCCTGACCAACGGAGTCGCTGGAGTTGGAAAAACCTTCTCAGTGCAGAAGTTCACTCTGGACTGGGCCAAGGGTTTGGAAAACCAAGATGTCAGTCTGGTGATCCCGCTTTCCTTCAGGGAGCTGAACCTGATCAAAGATGAGCAGTACAGTCTTCTCAGGCTGCTCCATGTTTTCCATCCAACCTTACAGAAGGTCACAGCAGAGCAGCTGGCTGTCTGTAAAGTGCTGCTCATCTTTGACGGCCTGGATGAAAGCAGACTTTCTCTGGATTTCAGAAACAATGAGGTTGTGTCTGATGTCTCTCAGCAGTCCTCAGTCAACGTGCTGCTGACAAACCTCATCAGGGGGAAGCTGCTTCCCTCGGCTCTCGTCTGGATAACTTCCAGACCTGCAGCGGCCAATCGGATCCCTCCTGAGTGTGTGGACAGAGTAACAGAAGTACGAGGCTTCACTGACGCCCAGAAGGAGATGTACTTCAGGAGGAGATCGAGTGATGAACAATGGTCCAGCAGAATCATCTCTCACATCAAGAGCTCCAGTAGCCTCCACATCATGTGTCAGATCCCAGTCTTCTGCTGGATCACTGCTGCAGTTCTGGACCACATGTTGACTACAGACCAGAGAGGAGAGCTGCCCAAGACCCTCACTGACATGTACTCACACTTCCTGCTGGTCCAGACCAAGAGGAAGAAGCAGAAGTATGATGAGGGACATGAGACGAGTCCACAGCAGCTGACGGAGGCTGACAGGGAGCTTCTTCTGAAGCTGGGGAGGCTGGCGTTTGAACATCTGGAGAAAGGAGACATCATGTTCTACCAAGAAGACCTGGAGCGCTGTGGTCTTGACGTCACCAAGGCCTTGGTGCACTCAGGAGTTTGTACAGAGATCTTCAAAAGAGAGAGAGTGATCTTCAAGAAAACAGTCTACTGCTTTGTTCATCTGAGCATTCAGGAGTTTCTGGCTGCAGTCTACATGCTGCACTGTTACACCAACAGGAACACAGAGGTACTGAAGGACTTCCTGCAGGGAGACTATAACAACAGGTTTAGCAATGATCAGGATTACCCATCCCTGGATGTCTTCCTAAAGAGCGCCATGATGAAATCACTCGAAAGTGAAAATGGCCACCTGGACCTGTTTGTCCGCTTCCTCCACGGCCTCTCTCTGGAGTCCAACCAGAGACTCTTAGGAGGCCTGCTGGGTCGCACAGACAAACATCCAGAAATCATCCAGAGAGCCATCAGCAACCTGAAGGAGATGAGAAGTGATAAAATCTCTCCCGACAGGAGCCTCAACATCTTCCACTGTCTGACAGAAATTAATGACCACTCAGTACTTCAGGAGATCACAGAGTTCCTGAAGTCAGAGAACAGATCAGAGAAGAGACTCTTTGTGGAACGCTGGTCAGCTCTGGCCTACAGGCTGGAGATGTCAGAGGAGGTTCTGGATGAGTTGGAGAAGTACAAAACATCACAGGAGGGACGACGGAGACTGATTCCAGCTGAGAGGAACTGCAGGACGGCTGTGTGAGTCCAGATGTGATTAAATGTATAGATTAGTGTAGATAAGGATTTTAGTTTTTCAAATAAACACTATACAACTTTTTGCTGTTTCACATTCTGTGAGATTAAAATTGAATTAATACAATTATTCTAATTTCAAAATTGTACAGTTTTTTCTTATCTTCATTTTCCCTGTCAAAAACATATGAAGGATGTTTTATCACAGCAACATGTGATCACAACATACAGAATAATTGTACATATGTCATTAAATGGAGTAAAGTTATTATGAAATGATTGCAGTTTCTTTATCGTTAAATTAGACACAGAGTAATATCTGATTTATGTTGACTCTAGTCTAGAAAGTAGCAAAGAGGTGACAGACATGGGATCAGATCACACTCAACCATCCAGTGGTAATCAGATCATGATATTCAAAATGTTATTCCTCAAATGCATGAAGTAAATATATTGTTTCCCCTTTTTTTGATATAAACAAATTCTGTATTATGTGTTATAACAGAATTCCTGACAGTGGATTCTTAGACTGGGAAGTCGTGGCCTCCAATCTGAGAGAGCTGGAGCTTAGAGACGATCTGCAGGATTCAGAGGTGGAGCAGCTGAGTTCTGCACTGAAGAGTCCAAACTGTACACTGAAGGCTCTGAGGTCAGATCACTGGCTGTAGTTCATGTGGTTTTGTACAGTATTTATAATTGATATATTTATAATTCGCCATAATTTGCCTGAGTACAAAGATATTTTAATAAGTTCACATTTCTTTCTAAATTGCTGAATATTTGACAAGAATAACAGAAAGCAGAGAAAGTAGATGAGTGATGGACAGTGTTTGAGCTTCCACAGACTCTCACTGTGCTCCATGACTCAGTGAAGATGCTGTCAGTACGGATGAGCTGTGAGGGAGATGAAGGAGGTTGTTTTGATGCATTATCAATGAATTTGTAGTTATCTACTATTACATTTATCTAAAAAGTATCTACATCATTTTTGACATTGGCCTCTGAACCCTCTCCAGGTCTGAAAAGATGATGAAACTTTGAACTACCTCAAGCAGGACCATTGTTCACTGAATTTACATTGGGTGTTTCTCAATCGCGAGTACGCTTGCTTGGTAGCACATGTCTGCCGAGCATCTTGCTTCAGAAGCGAGGCAAGAATACTTCCTGGCATTCGGAAAACAAAGAGTGGAACAGGCTAGCAAGTGTGCAGGTGTGCGTCATATGAGAGGCCCCGCCTTACATTTTCCGCCACAGATTTGGGGAAATTTGTCCGTGCGCAAAGCATTGTGGGGATTTTAAGACCGCGGAGTCTACACATGTGCAGCCTCGAAATTTCTCTTATGGCGCAGTTCCACTGCAGCGCGGAGCTCGCTTTAAGCGTGCCGTGTCGTGCCGTCCCCTTTTTTGGTTGTGCTTCCACTAGGCCAATTACCGGCGCGGCACGGCGCGGGGCCACTTTTTCACCTCTTTTCTGGCCCTAGAAAATTGTGGTTCTATCGGGGCCAACAAACAGGGCTGAGTCGGGCTGAGTATGCTAAACTAGAGAGAGGAGCGCTGGCAAGAGGGCTAGAACTACAACAAGATGGACATATTTGACCGTGATTTAATTGTAATACACGTTTCAAAATGATGCCGAAGTAACAACATACTGATACCGGTTAGTAAAAACCATGAATTAATGCTTTGTCAAGTTTGCAGACAGACGGCAGGCGAAAAACCTTTTAAAATTCGTGTTTTTCTAGATGGAGATTGGCTAAGCTAACGCAGTATATGCCCCGACCGTCCACACTCACAACAACGGCCTATACAGACATAAATAAAGCAGCGACTGTATTCACCATGACACAGGCAGTCTGTGGTGTGTACTTGTTTAACTTTTGTCGAGTTTCTGAACATATATAAGGAGCTGTGAGCTCTGAGTGCTAACAGCTAACGGCTGTGTTGTGTTTCTGGATTTCTCATTGAAGATGACGTCACGGCTCCGCCTACACTGCGTTACTATAGTAACTACCCCAGTTCCTAAACTGTAATGGAAGCGCAGCATGAAGTGAGTCGGCCCTGTTAAGGCCCAACGCGGCCAAGCCGTACAGAGCCGTACCGAGTGTGGCCGAGGCCGACCGTGTAGTGGAAATGCGCCATTAACGAAGTACGCCGGGCTCGGTAGAATTCCAAGTATGCTGGACATTGGAACAGACCTTCGGCGGCACTCGATGACGTAGTATGCTTGAAATAGTGGCTCTGCAGCAGCTTTACTCGCGATTGAGAAACACCCATTGTGTGTTATTTATTCAGACTCTGGTGCTGCTTCTTTGTAAACTCTGTGATCTTGAGTTGAATCAGTTTCTGTGGGTTTGTATTTGTCTGGCTGCACATCACAAGTTATTGTAGAAGGAGCAGAGTTTAAGATGTGAAGTCACCACTTTTTATTGAAGGTGAAGCACGTTGTCTTTAATATTAATGAGAGCTCTGTTCTCTTTCTGTAACTTACTGTTTTTAACCTGTCGGGATTGTCCACTTTATAAACTTCTACATTCTCTACTTCTCCAGCTATAATCAGATTATTAGAACTTTAATTATTTCAATAAGGAACATTGTTTTCTAAACTTGCATTATGTGTTCTTTATTCAGACTGGAGGTCTGTATGTTGTCAGAGATCAGCTGGGCTGCTCTGATCTCAGCTCTGAAGTCCAACCCTTCCCATCTGAGAGATCTGAACCTGAGTCGCAACGAGCTGCAGGATTCAGTCGTGAAGCTGCTGAGTGATCTTCTGGAGAGTCCAGAATGCAAACTGGAGACTCTCAAGTCAGTTCTCCATCTTTTACTTCTGTGCTGAGATTAATATGTGAGAGTTGTGTTGACTCTGAGCTGCAGACATCAGGCTGATATGATCCTGATCCTCACTGAGCATCTTAATGCTAAAGTCTATTTTCTTCTTCTGTGGTTTAGTTCATTGACCGTGGCAGAGCAATGTTAAAGAAAAATCATACTCTGCATAATTCACTCTGAACCTCTCAAAAACCGAAATTCATCTTATATTCTCCATCATGTTGTTTTAAATAAATGACATTATAAACACATGAATACAATAATAAATATTTCTATTAAAACTATCAAACACTAACAAATAATTTCAGTTTTTGCTGTTTCTAACATTTGTATTAACCTGTTATGCACGGCCCGCCCGGTACCGGGCGGATAAACGCGTCATTTGCAGGAAACAACGTCTAAGGAATCTTAATATTGAATAAAACTATGAATGTTTTATATCCATGTAACGGGAAGAAACTCAGCTAACTGATCTTTTTAATTTTTTTTTTCAAAAAAAACCCACAATGCTAGCACTCAGCCTCTGAATTACCCACGAGCGAAAAAATTTAACCTAAAACGGCACTTAAACTCACTCATAACTTCCTTATTACTTATCCTAGATGCACAACCAACCACTCGTTTTTGGTGTCCTGGAGACCCTGAATCTAGTGGTGTCCTCCTCAACACTGAGTGATAAACATTTACGACGCTATAAACGAAAGCGTACATCATAACATGTGGAGCTAAGTAGCTAGAAACGCTAACATGGCTTACCTTGGTCAAAACTGGTCTTCAATGGCATTAAAACGATAAAAAAACGATGCTGCAGTTAATCCATAGGTTCATCCTATGTATCTGTGCCTTCTTTGAAATTATTTCTGATAATCCATAAGCAATAAAACTGCTTTTTAGTTTCCAAATTCCAGAAGGAGAGATTCTTCCAATCTGCTTTCGAATTCCAGACGCGCAGCCCTCACCTTTTCTCTTTACAATGAGTGTGTATGTGGGCCTCCCCCTTCGATTCTATTGGCTCTAACGGTCAGAAAGGTGTGTCAACGATAAAAATCGAGCAAGGGGGGCCAGAGATATAGAAAAAAAAACATTTTCACCCAAATCACCTCAGAGGTGGGGTGGTTTTGGCTAAACCTCTCTAAAAAGGTCAAATGTCACTTGTTTTGCATCAATCTTGATACAGGGTACTTATTATATGTTGTACTTTGGATTCCTAAAGCTTTTAGTCTACTAACCCATCATCCAAGGGTAGTTTTCACTATCTGTAAAAAATAATTTTTGGACGGACACTATAATTTACAGTTTTTTACTATGTAAAATCTGAATTTTCTTTAAAATAAAAAACATTTATATTGATTCTGACACTTCTACATCCAACTCACAGATGTAACCTTGCTTTGATAAAAGAAATTATTCATATAACCCTTTTAGAAGTTAAGTTGTAGTCATTTGTTTTGGGCATGTCATTTTCGAGCCTGAAACATGAAAAACAGGCTAGGTGCTTAACAGGTTAAGCTACAAGATGCTCATACTGACTGCATAGTTTAAACTGAAGATGCTGTGATCTATGTCTCCACTATTCCTAAAATAAATATTCTCTATTTATTTTGATCACATTTCTTTGAAATGCATCCTGACATATTTGTGATCTTTGTAAACTCTGTGATCTTGAATTGAATCAGTTTCTGTGGGTTTGTATTTGTCTGGCTGCACATCACGAGTTAGTGTAGAAGGAGCAGAGTTTCAGATGTGAAGTCACCACTTTTTATTGAAGGTGAAGCACGTTGTCTTTAATATTAATGAGAGCTATGTTCACTTTCTGTAACTTACTGTTTTTAACCTGTCGGGAGTGTCCACTTTATAAACTTCTACATTCTCTACTTCTCCAGCTATAATCAGATTATTAGAACTTTAATTATTTCAATAAGGAACATTGTTTTCTAAACTTGCATCATGTGTTCTTTATTCAGACTGAGGTGCTGCTGGTTGTCAGAGATCAGCTGTGCTGCTCTGATCTCAGCTCTGAAGTCCAACCCTTCCCATCTGAGAGATCTGAACCTGAATGGCAACGATCTGAAGGATTCAGGAGGGAAGCTGCTGAGTGATCTTCTGGAGAGTCCAGACTGCAGACTGGAGACTCTCGGGTCAGTTCTCCATCTTTTACTTCTGTGCTGAGATTAATATGTGAGAGTTGTGTTGACTCTGAGCTGCAGACATCAGGCTGATATGATCCTGATCCTCACTGAGCATCTTAATGCTAAAGTCTATTTTCTTCTTCTGTGGTTTAGTTCATTGACCGTGGCAGAGCAATGTTAAAGAAAAACCATACTCTGCATATTTCACTCTGAACCTCTCAAAAACCTGAAATTCATCTTATATTCTCCATCATGTTGTTTTAAATAAATGACATTATGAACACATGAATACAATATCTAAATATTTCTATTAAAACTATCAAACGGTAACAAATATTTTCAGTTTTTGCTGTTTCTAACATTTGTATTAAGCTACAAGATGCTCATACTGACTGAATAGTTTAAACTGAAGATGCTTTGATCTATGTCTCCACTATTCCTAAAATAAATATTCTCTATTTATTTTGATCCCATTTCTTCTAAATTCTTCCTGACATATTTGTGATCTTTGTAAACTCTGTGATCTTGGGTTGAATAAGTTTATGTGGGTTAGTATTTGTCTGGCTGCACATCACGAGTTAGTGTAGAAGGAGCAGAGTTTCAGATGTGAAGTCACCACTTTTTATTGAAGGTGAAGCACGTTGTCTTTAATATTAATGAGAGCTATGTTCTCTTTCTGTAACTTACTGTTTTTAACCTGTCGGGAGTGTCCACTTTATAAACTTCTACATTCTCTACTTCTCCAGCTATAATCAGATTATTAGAACTTTCATTATTTCAATAAGGAACATTGTTTTCTAAACTTGCATCATGTGTTCTTTATTCAGACTGGAGCGCTGCAGTATGTCAGAGATCAGCTGTGCTCTTGTGATCTCAGCTCTGAAGTCCAACCATTCCCATCTGAGAGATCTGGACCTGAGTCAAAACGCTCTGAAGGATTCAGGAGGGAAGCTGCTGAGTGATCTTCTGGAGAGTCCAGACTGCAGACTGGAGACTCTCAGGTCAGTTCTCCATCTTTTTCTTCTGTGCTGAGATGAATATGTGAGAGTTGTGTTGACTCTGAGCTGCAGACATCAGGCTGATATGATCCTGATCCTCACTGAGCATCTTAATGCTGAAGTCTATTTTCTTCTTCTGTGGTTTAGTTCATTGACCGTGGCAGAGCAATGTTAAAGAAAGATCATACTCTGCATAATTCACTCTGAACCTCTCAAAAACCTGAAATTCATCTTATATTCTCCATCATGTTTTTTTTTAAATAAACACATGAATACAATAATTAAATATTTCTATTAAAACTATCAAACACTAACAAATATTTTCATTTTTTGCTGTTTCTAACATTTGTATTAAGCTACAAGATGCTCATGCTGACTGAATAGTTTAAACTGAAGATGCTTTGATCTATGTCTCTACTATTCCTAAAATAAATATTCTCTATTTATTTCGATCACATTTCTTTAAAATTCATCCTGACATATTTGTGATCTTTGTAAACTCTGTGATCTTGAGTTAAATCAGTTTCTGTGGGTTTGTATTTGTCTGGCTGCACATCACGAGTTATTGTAGAAGGAGCAGAGTTTCAGATGTGAAGTCACCACTTTTTATTGAAGGTGAAGCACGTTGTCTTTAATATTAATCAGATCTATGTTCACTTTCTGTAACTTACAGTTTTTAACCTGTCGGGAGTGTCCACTTTATAAACTTCTACATTCTCTACTTCTCCAGCTATAATCAGATTATTAGAACTTTAATTATTTCAATAAGGAACATTGTTTTCTAAACTTGCATCATGTTTTCTTTATTCAGACTGATGGACTGCAGGTTGTCAGAGATCAGCTGGGCTACTCTGATCTCAGCTCTGAAGTTCAACCATTCCCATCTGAGAGTTCTGAACCTGAGTTCCAACGCTCTGCAGGATTCAGGAGGGAAGCTGCTGAGTGATCTTCTGGAGAGTCCAGACTGCAGACTGGAGACTCTCAGGTCAGTTCTCCATCTTTTACTTCTGTGCTGAGATTAATATGTGAGAGTTGTGTTGACTCTGAGCTGCAGACATCAGGCTAATATGATCCTGATCCTCACTGAGCATCTTAATGCTGAAGTCTATGTTCTTCTTCTGTGGTTTAGTTCATTGACCGTGGCAGAGCAATGTTAAAGAAAAATCATACTCTGCATAATTCACTCTGAACCTCTCAAAAACCTGAAGTTCATCTTATATTCTCCATCATGTGTTTTTAAATAAATGACATTATAAACACATTAATACAATATTTAAATATGTATATTAAAACTATCAAACACTAACAAATATCTTCAGTTTTTGCTGTTTCTAACATTTGTATTAAGCTACAAGATGCTCATACTGACTGAATAGTTTAAACTGAAGATGCTGTGATCTATGTCTCCACTATTCCTAAAATAAATATTCTCTATTTATTTTTATCAAATTTCTTCAAAATTCATCCTGACATATTTGTGATCTTTGTAAACTCTGTGATCTTGAGTTGAATCAGTTTCTGAGGGTTCGTATTTGTCTGGCTGCACATCACGAGTTATTGTAGAAGGAGCAGAGCTTCAGATGTGAAGTCACCACTTTTTATTGAAGGTGAAGCACGTTGTCTTTAATATTAATCAGATCTATGTTCACTTTCTGTAACTTACAGTTTTTAACCTGTCGGGAGTGTCCACTTTATAAACTTCTACATTCTCTACTTCTCCAGCTATAATCAGATTATTAGAACTTTAATTATTTCAATAAGGAACATTGTTTTCTAAACTTGCATCATGTTTTCTTTATTCAGACTGATGGACTGCAGGTTGTCAGAGATCAGCTGGGCTGCTCTGATCTCAGCTCTGAAGTCCAACCATTCCCATCTGAGAGAGCTGAACCTGAGTCTCAACGATCTGAAGGATTCAGGAGGGAAGCTGCTGAGTGATCTTCTGGAGAGTCCAGACTGCAAACTGGAGACTCTCGGGTCAGTTCTCCATCTTTTACTTCTGTGCTGAGATGAATGTGTGAGAGTTGTGTTGACTCTGAGCTGCAGACATCAGGCTGATATGATCCTGATCCTCACTGAGCATCTTAATGCTAAAGTCTATTTTCTTCTTCTGTGGTTTAGTTCATTGACCGTGGCAGAGCAATGTTAAAGAAAAATCATACTCTGCATAATTCACTCTGAACCTCTCAAAAACCTGAAATTCATCTTATATTCTCCATCATGTTTTTTTTTTATAAATGATATTATAAACAAATGATTACAATAATTAAATATTTCTATTAAAACTATCAAACACTAACAAATATTTTAAGTTTTTGCTGTTTCTAACATTTGTATTAAGCTACATGATGCTCATGCTGACTGAATAGTTTAAACTGAAGATGCTGTGATCTATGTCTCCACTATTCCTAAAATAAATATTCTCTATTTATTTTGATCACATTTCTTTAAAATTCTTCCTGACATATTTGTGATCTTTGTAAACTCTGTGATCTTGAGTTGAATCAGTTTCTGTGGGTTTGTATTTGTCTGGCTGCACATCACGAGTTAGTGTAGAAGGAGCAGAGTTTCAGATGTGAAGTCACCACTTTTTATTGAAGGTGAACCACGTTGTCTTTAATATTAATGAGAGCTATGTTCTCTTTCTGTAACTTATTGTTTTTAACCTGTCGGGAGTGTCCACTTTATAAACTTCTACATTCTCTACTTCTCCAGCTATAATCAGATTATTAGAACTTTCATTATTTCAATAAGGAACATTGTTTTCTAAACTTGCATCATGTGTTCTTTATTCAGACTGTGGTACTGTAGTTTGTCAGAGATCAGCTGTGCTGCTCTGATCTCAGCTCTGAAGTCCAACCCCTCCCATCTGAGAGATCTGAACCTGAGTGACAACAAGCTGCAGGATTCAGTCGTGAAGCTGCTGAGTGATCTTCTGGAGAGTCCAGACTGCAGACTGGAGACTCTCTGGTCAGTAAGGGGTCGACTCTCTGCTGGTTCAGCAGGATTGTATTAAACACAGGGAGGTGGATGTGTTCCTCACACTGGGGAATCTCTCCAGTTCCACCTTCCAGGCGTAGCCTAGCTTAGCACAACAAATCAGTGATGTTACCATTTATCTGCAGTCTCTCCTTTTGTTCATCTTGCGGTTCTTTACTTTCATTATTATCAAGCAAGATAATACAAGCTGACAATGCAAAGCCACATTTCAGACAGCTGCAACTCATTAACAGACAAATGGGATTTTACAGTTAAAAAGGTAGTCTGTTTGTTTTTCCTATGAAGTTTTTTTTGTTCCTGGACTAATGCCTAGTTAATTCTCTCATGCAGCTGAGAGCTGTGGACAGTCAGTCGTAGTGTTTGCAGAGAAGATACGATGTGATGTAAAGCATTGGATCACTCAGGACTGTGAAGCTGACTAACTCAAAGAACAAACACTTATTTTAACTTGATCTATAACTGTTGGATTGTGTTCATCTCTGCAGGATCAGAGGCGAGATGATGAAAGCCAAGATACAGAAGAAATGTGAGTATTGAACCCATATCCTCCAAATATATCCAAACTCTCGTACATGCAATCAAATCATAGGTAATATATGTATGTATCACTTGATGAAATCTGTGCCTCCCATTTATGTCTAGCACAGAGTGGCTAACAGGCGCTAACCTGCTACAACGGCCCAAAACATTTACATTAGGAGAAAGGCGCTGAAGCTTCAAATACAATGCAATATAAAAACACAAATGTTCCAAAACACATGCAAATGAAGATACATCTTCACCAACTTGACAACACATGCACAGCATTTAGAACATATTTACCAACTTGAGGAAACATGCGCAGCGTTTACTAAAAGCCCTACATTAATGAAACGCTGCAAGAAACAAACACTGCAAGAAGCTTAAAACAAAACTGAAACGCGGACATTAAAAAGTGTAGATATTATAAAGATATAGAACAGTATAATGACCTTTGTCAACATTATAAAGTTGGCAAACTGTCTTTGTTGGTGGCAGAGTCTGTTTCATATTGTTAAGTGTTTTGTCAGTATATCTGAAAGGACAAGGTTTGCTAGCTAGCTTACAGCAGATCTGCAATAATACCTGAAGGAATCATGCGATCACATTGTTAAAATAAACCGATAAAACTTACATTCTATGTTTCCAGTGACAGTTTAACAGATTTAAACGTTTTGCTCAAGAACTGCGTTTAGGTCTGATACAAACAAAGGATGCGTGGAATACCCCTTGAAAAGTGAAATTAAATATAGTGATTGAATCGAATCTGTGTAAATACCAATAGAACAATCAACCAGAGATGGAGTACTCGAGTCCTCGAGTCAGACTCGAGTGCCGATTTTCAGGACTCGTGACTCGACTCGGACTCGCGCACTGATTGACGCGACTCGGACTTGGACTCGTGAATTCTCGCGCACGATGACTTGGACTCGGACTCGTGAATCATCGCGTACGCTGACTTGGACTCGGACTCGGACTCGTGAATCTTTCCCCCCACGATGACTCGGACTCGACTTGTACATTGACGCTCCGACTTGGACTCGGACTCGAGCAAGTTTTCTATGGAGTCTGATGTCCTCTATCCTGGCGTGTGCACCGGCTGCGAGGCGAGTTCACGTACTGGGCCCCGCTATTCCAGTCTAAAGATGTCTAGAGACACACCCCGCATCGTGCTGTATGCTTTCACACATTCTGCTTCCACATTGGAAAAGAGCAGCGCAAAATGCTCTATGTGGAAACAATATTGAAGAGAAGGCTCCGTAACACATTACTCTAAGGATCGAGTTCAGACATATAGGCTGTCTTGAACACTATCATCAGAGTAACGTGATCTAATCAATAAATAAAGATTCAGCCGATAACACGAAAGCACATGGCTACTTAACATGCAGAATGAAGTCATTTTGCATGCTAAGTAGCCATGTGCTTTCTGGGGCTTAATCTTCATCAGTAAACCGATTTAACCGGTAAAAGTTCCTTCAAAATAAGAGTCCCGATCTTATTACTATCAAAATAAAAGTGCAAAACGAAAACTTTACCATAGAAAAATATTGGCATACAAATATAATCACTTCTCTAAAAGGTAACTAATTTTAAACATAGTTTATTTATATATAATAATAATAATAATATTAATATTAGTAATAAGCTTTATATTTGTATAGCACCTATTACAAGAATTGTAGTCAAACTCGCTTCACAGCAGTTCAATAGACAGATTAATATAACATGACAGGATAAAAGCAATGTAGAGGAGCAGCTACATTTCAACACATATATCCACGAAGATTAATACATGAAGACTTGTGACTCGGACTTGGACTCGGACTCGAACACAGGTAATGATGACTCGGACTCGACTCGGACACTCCTTGGGTGACTCAGACTTGGACTCGGACTCGAACACAGGTAATGATGACTCGGACTCGACTCGGACACTCCTTGGGTGACTCGGACTTGGACTCGGACTCGACTACGACTCTCCCTTGGTGACTCGGATTTGGACTCGGACTCGAAGAGTGGTGACTCGAGAGTGACTTGGACTTGTGAATTGGTGACTTGACTACAACACTGCAATCAACTTTCTCTTTCAAAGTCAACTTTAATGTCAATGTTTCTGTGTGTTTGTACAGACAGAGAGATCGAAATAACGTTTCCAACAATCCCGATTACAAAATACAATAATACAAATATACAAATATGTATAAATATGTATATCCTCTATATATACAATCAACACATTTACACATATGCACACATTAAGATAAAACACAACAATCAATATATACAATAACAGTTACTTCAATATCTTCATTCTTTAAGCTGCAAAATAACAGCAGCCTTATATGTTTTACTTCTTATTCACACACTGATGGCAGCGAGCGACCACAGGAACAAATCCTAAAACACTGAAATTACACTTCCTGTTCCTTCGTCTTAAAGTCAAATGTGTATTTGGTTTGACGCCTGAAATAATGTGATTAACAACATTTTAAGAAATGTTAACGTTAGACATACTTATATCCAATAAATACCACACTTCTGAATTTTGAGGCTTATATGTGTCTGAAGCGGCCAAAACCATGTAGAAATAAAACAGATAATTAACTTAAAATAACACTGCAGCTGAGGCACCAGTTACTGAATCTTACGAACTGATACAAGTTCAGACAAGAATCTCCGTTTGTGCATTTATTTTCATGGTCCAATGTCATTAACAAAAGTACAATGAACAGCTTTCCTATTGATTCCTTTCCTTCAGCCCTTTTTTATGGCTTTCCTTGTGGCTTGTATCACCCTGGTAAAAAACGAGGGTTGCAGTCAAAAATCAGCTGTATTCTATTCTACTATTCCTCGACCTCTGTGTCTAACGTCACGGGGTCAAGGAATAGTGGATAGGAGAATTCAAAAGGACTTAGGAGAAGAGATTGCGGTGCTTTGAGAATCCGACTGCACTTTCACTATCGACGTATTTATGATGCGCCAGCGGACGTCATAAATGTGCATCTGCTGCTGTGGGGAAACTACAGTTTTCTATACAGCGGACTACATGGATGTATAATAAGAACGACGGACTACTGTAAACGCATCTAGAGACTTTGCACCGTGCTCTGATGCTGTTGTTTTATGCTTTATGAACGTGGACAACAGAGAAACATATTCTTCATGACCAAGGTTGGAATTGAAATAAAAAAGTGAAGTGAAACTTATGCTCGTCCCCCTCCGGTCCAAACGTATTAATCCACATGAATCCCAATACGTATGATGATTGTATGAAAAGATATTAAAATAAATACAATGTATTTACTATAAACGTGTTAGTCCTTAACATCTCCCACTGTGCATACCACCATTAAAACATGTTTAAAGTTTAATAAAACCCCACACAGCTCAGTAAACACTATGAAATGTTGACTTTATTTGATCATTTCAGTAAAAAGGTAGCGTTCATATTTCTCCTTTTGATTATCATAGTGTTGGACATTCAAAACAAAGCCCTTTGGCAAGTAAAATGCTTAATAAGCACCGTAACTTTCATGATATAATTTCTCCGTCACAATGTTGAGTCACGGTAAATGTTGTGGCCGCTAGCACAGCATGTTCTCCTTTCCTTTCGTAAAGGAAGGTCCAGTGTTTCCTAAGCTAAAGGAGGTTATAAAGGAAGTTTCAAACCTCCTTTCCTATCATCTAGAGCAGGGGTTTTCAAAGTGTGGGAAGGTGAGCCTCCCCTCAGAGAACATAAGAACAGCCGCGCCCCCCCTCCCAATTATTATTGCTATTATTATTATTATTATTATTGTTGTTGTTGCTATAATGCAGGGGTATTCAATTGCATTTCAAAGAGGTCCAGTAAGAGAACATGAAGACTGTTTCTCTCCTCTTGTCTCGTCTCTGTGTGTGTGTTTGAATCTATCGTGCTGACTCACTGACTGCACCCATTTGATTGGCTGAGTAGCGTCACCTCCTTAAAACATTAAACAATAACTTTTTAAAACCTTTTTATCTTTATGTTTTAAACATATTGTATAAAACTCCCCCACTACTTGGACTATTCCTTGCACCCCTCTAGAATAAGCCCGAATGGTCTCAACCATATTGCATCAGTAACGTGCACTTTGTTGTTATAACAAGATCGCAAGGACACTGGTAGCGATCGGACTATTGAGTGTTGTTCAGTTTGTGTGTTGTGGAACATGCGTGTGCGTGCATGAAAATATACCACACACCCAATTACAATTGCATGTTCAATTCACTACCCTGGAAGTTAATAAAGTTGTTAAAGTTGGAACAGCTTGTGGACAGCCGTTCTTCCTTGCATGTCAGTCGCCGACACCTTCTTGCAGAGAACAGGCAAATCTAGCTGCAGCACGACCCGTATATTTTTCGCACACCGTATTCTCAACACATATTTTTTAAACATTTTCAACATCGTGGATACATCCTGTATCCCGGCAACACACTGAACGTCAACTTTGCCTCCTTATTACACTCACCCCTACTTTAGTGGGAACAATGAGTCTGCGTCTTTGATGCGCACAGGAATACACGCAGATCCTCCTCTGGCTGCAGCCTTGACCGGTACTTGCTTTTGATCAAAGTCAATGCGGAAAACCCGCACTCACACAGGTAGGTGGAGGTGAAGGGAATGAGCACTTTTACAGCCTTTTTGGCGAGGTGGGGGGAACTCGGTCTCCACAGACAGCCAAAAGTGTGCAAGTGTCACTTTACTCGTCTTTTTCTCGTTGTTTTTTTTCTCATGCTGCGCCTCCCCTGAAGCTCTCTGGCGCCCCCCAGGGGAGGCGCGCCTCACACTTTGAAAACCGCTGATCTAGAGAATCCCAACAGCTCTTATCATGGCGGCCACTGAGGTTCTTCCGGGTCATTTCACTCCGTTAGGAAGGTTCCTAAACTAAACTGACAATTGGACCGCAGCCCATGTGCCTACTAGTGCTCTACTCCCTCCACCGCCTGTATCCAATATATACAATTACACCCAGCGCCCAAACATGCCTTCAAAATGCCTTTAACTCACTTCAATAACGACACTAAATAATAATACCTTCAATATACACAAAAACAGCAAGAAAATAAATGTTTAACTATTAAATAATATAAAGCTCAAAGAGTGTCTTTAAACAGGCGGTTCTAACGAGTGGCTGAATTCATAATAACGTCATCACGCTGATCACGGAGAAACTCATCTCCTCATTGGCTGTGATGTTAAATCATGTGACTGTGATGTAGGTCCTTTATAGCCTAATGCTAGCTTTTCACTTGTGTGAAAGCACAGGTATTGGATTTGAATAAGGAAATGTTACTGATTATATATTTTAAATAAATAAACCCACCACTGGGAAAGTTGAGGAGTATAAATATCTCTCTGAACATCACATTGAACTTTTGTGTAACTTATTAGTAATCTTTTAAGAGATCTCTGTTTACAGTGATTGTTGGTTATATAACAAGAGTATTGTCCCTGTTTATCTTCCAGGTCCATGAGGGAATATCGTCATCTCAACAAATGGCAGTGCGTTCAGCCCCGTAATCCTGCATGAGGTTCAATTTCTGTCCCTCAAATCTTTGGAAACAGTCAGAAGAACGGCTACGGAGAACTTGAAGAACAGTTTTCAATTATGACATTTTTGCGTTGATCACCCCGACTCAATTAATCCCATGTGACTATTCTTCACTCATGTTCCCGGTAATAACACGTTTTCTTCATAAACCTAGTCTAAATAAACTGCAGTGAGTAACATTTCCACGGAGTAGGAAGATATTCAATACCAAGAAGCACATGATGGCGTTTTTCAGTTGTCTGACAGGCTGTGTAACTTTTTCTTTTATTATAATTTCCTTTTTTTTTAATCTTTAAAGGTCCCATGCCATGGCAATTTCTACTGATCATAATTCCATTGTTGAGGTCTACTAGAATACATTTATATTGTGCAATTTTCCAAACGCACATTGGTTTCTCATACAGCATCTCTGTATAGTATGTGTATTCACTCTCTGTCCTAAACGGCTTGTTGGAGCTCCTGCCCCCCCCTCCCTGTGAGCCCAGTGTGCTCTGATTGGTCAGCTCACCCACTCTGTTCTGATGAGTCTACCACCATTACAGCGGAACATCAGTGATTATGTGTTACAACGGCGTTAGCAACCAGAAAATGACACCAGTAAGGACAAACAGATGAGAATGCTGCGTGGGGTCTGGGGGCCGTGTTGGCGGGACGTTGCGGGGCTCGCTGCTGGAGCGGACAGTGTGAGCTGGCTTACTGGTGTCGCTTCCTGGTTGCTGCGTGGGGTCTGCGAGACAGCGAGACACAGTGAAACCCAGCCCGAACTCAGCCCGAGCACACACACACACACACCCGCAGCCTGGCTGTGAGTCTGTGTGTGTGCTCAGACCGAGCCCAGGCAGGAGGGAAGCCCTCGCCGTGTCCCGCTGTCTCAGGCTGAGAAATCCTCGGAGCTGCAGCTGAAAAAAATAAGGCTGAGTGAGTGTGTGTGGACCAATCCGCGTAGCCATTACGTCACTTAGCCCCTTACGTCACTTGGTACCCGGAAGAAAAAGAAAAATCTCCAACGAGGCGTTCTGGGGCAGCATAGACAGGTCTTATCTGTGTTAGAGTTTTACATGCATAAAAACCTTCATAACACACAAGGGGACGGGTAATAACCGGAAAAGCATGACATGGGACCTTTACTACTTTTGTATGCATGCTTTAGGTAACATTAAGCTGTCGTTGGCTATTTTCTGCTGTAACAATGTACATTTCCCCTCTGTGGCACTAATAAAGGTATTCTGATTCTGATCTGAATGTTATTATTGTTATTAGCACATGTTTTTAATGTATCTAGTTTTAGATGAATTTATTTGTATTTTTTTCTTTTGTGCTTTTATACCACATTTTGCTGGTTGTGTTTGCTGACACCTGACTCTATGGACGGAGACAACATGAAGCTTTCTCTCCTGAGGGGACTGACAACAACAATGACTACAACACCTGGGCAGAGATAATACATTTACAATTGTGAATAATGTTTGATATCCTGATGGCAAACCCGTCTTACCTTAATGTTCGTTACTTGTGAAGGTTGAATCACACAGGCTCTTCCTCTCTCTGCAGCCTGCTCTTTTTTGTCCTTCAGTGATCCATTGCTGCTGTGCTATTTGAAGGTTAATTGAGGATACTCTCGGAAGAGCACCTTCAACATACCATTACAGATATACTACAATATACTATTCACGAAAAACTAATCTTATAATCTGTAATTTATTTATACTAACAATTATTATATTATTTTTTCCCTTATCCGTATTTAATCATTTCATTTTGTTGTTGTTTTTATATATATATGTCATTTTCCATCCTCCATGGAGAGCACCTCATAGTAAGCACATCATTTACTTACATTTGACCAGTAGACTCTCTCCATTCATCACCTAAATATACACTATATTAACCTATATTCCACCATAAGGCAATCTATTTTAACCCTTTGATGGCCTTCTCCCTAAGTTGCAGTCTACTTACGAGACCAACTTGCCCACCTGGATGATGCCCTTGAGCTGGTCGCCATTCTATAAAGTACCCCCTCACTCATCTGTTATAATTCGCCTAAATATTTTCGTGTATTAAACCCTTTGTTATCGTGTTTAACCCAACTGCTCCTAAATTAAAGTCACTTGTATAACTCACATTCAATACAAATGTATTTAAACTTGAAATGTACACTTGTTGTCAGGTAAAAACATTATGTTCAGACTCACTACTTATTTAGGAAGCCAATAATGTATTTTTTTAGGAGAAGACCCCTCCCCTCTGAACAGTCACTTTTATCAGTCATATTTGAAAAGAAACATTATTATTTTCTGTATTCATGTAAGAATTCCCGGTTGGGAACCACTGCATTAAAGCATGGAGACATGTCAAAGTTATGTAAAATGGATTAATTTAAATACCAATTTCCTGTTGGTAGGGTTTATAGAAAACACCGTGTTTCTCTCATTTTGGTTTGAGCGACAGAATAAGTGATACAAAATGATGAAAGATTACAGCAATCACAGAGATATGGTGGCATGAGACATAAAACAGACTCTTTTGTGTCTATCGATATGCACAATTGTACTGTCACCTCAGAACAAAAAGAAAACATACTTAGACTTTGAGGTGGTTGAAACAACGTGTGGTAAATGTCACATTGTTTTATTGAAGTTTGGGAAATGTTCTGTGTTTGGGTCGTTGCTTTTGTTTTCATCTACGCTCGCTGATGCTGGTGTCCTGCAGGCTTTTGTTCCTCTCTGATAGCTGAGGAACAAAACACCTGGTGTCAGATTAGGTGTGGCTCATTAACCACCGAGCAGGGAAAGTCACATCTCCTCTGACACTAGAGGAGTGGAGAGAACGTGGGAACTTTAGGCCGTTGTTAGCCTAAAATAACACTCTGCAGGATCAGTCAGAATGTGAAACATGATGCAGCAACAGTCTGCAATTCATCTGTATTTCCTTACAAAGTAGGAAATATGTAATTTTTATAACTCTCTGTTTATTTTTGATGTGATAGCATTTGGACACCAAAGACTAAGACTAAATTGAGTGTTTTTAGCAGAAAATTAACCTATGCATCATCATTAAAATGTATTTTTCTGAGAAGCAAAACTTTTGAGAGTTTTTTTTTAAACTATTATAATTTAGGGGTATCCCTTTCCTGTAGTGTGTTATAGAGGTTTTTGTGCATGTAAATGGTCTGAAATGGATAAAATCCCTTGTGTTTCCTACTTTGATGACTTCCAGAACATAGTGACATTACTATTTAACACTCGCACTTCTATTGGTTAGCACTCCAACACATTGTACATGATAGGCTAAGGGGCGGGACATCTGTAAGCGGTTGACCAATCACAACAGAGCAGGCCAGCTAACCAATCAGAGCAGACTGGGCTCTGGTTTCAGACAGAGGGTGAAAAGAGGTGCTGCAGCACAGGCAGTATGAGAAAAAAAAAAAGAGCTTTTTGAACATTAAAGCATGGAGACATGTCACAGTAGAGACACTAAATACAAATATGAACCTGAAAATTAGCAGAGTAGGACCCCTTTAAATTATAATTAGATTAACAATGCAATATTATCAATCTCTCGAATACTGTGGATCATATTCCAATTGTAATATCAGTCTAAACACTCGCAATTTCTTATATCTTCCAAATCCCTAAGCCTTTTATATCACTGTACATGTGTCATTGGGATACATTGAGGTTAAAAGCTTTCCATAGACACCCAGCTGCTTCTAATCAATAATGCAGCACAGAGGTATTGAATTAAACTCCATCACATCTATACCAGAGGTGGAGCACAGTGGGCGGACGATATCTGATGACATTTCTAGTGAAAACACAAAATCTGCCACAACGCCAGACACCCAGTTCCTCTCTCTTTCGCCTTCATCAGTTCCCTGACAGTGTTTCTTCTGATCTCTCCGTCCCGCTCTTTCTTCCTCTCTCTCCGATCAGCCTCGCTCTCACTCCCTCACATTGATTAATTCCACAGGGCTGCCGTCTGATGCTTTTTTACGGCCGTCCTCCCACCATCGCCCCGGGCGAGGCAGACGACCTGAGGGATACTGACTCAATGGGTTGCAGCTCGGAGAAATACAGAGAACTTTCTTCACCAAAGATCAAGACTCTTCTTCCTCGCAGAGTTGTTGATAGAGAGTCTGGAGAAAATAAACACGCCAAGCTTTTGGTCTTCAGAGGAGAAACTGCTCCACAGGGACGCAGCAGCTTTTATAAAACAATGCCTAACAGCTGGGGAGAATAGGATGCATTGCTGTGTAGCTGTATGTTGAGAATACACAAGAGGACCGAGGTACAATGACGTGTGCATGTCATATTGAAGCCGTTGAAATTACCACCTTCAAACTTTGAGTTTGCAGGATCACGTTATTTATGTGGCACATTTTCAACTTCAAAGGACTTTCAATAAGTGCAATAAACAGTTAAGATACCAGCTAGAAAAAGCAATAAACATGTCTCAACATGTTTCAAGTACTTGAAATGTGTTGGCTCTATGAAACCTGATGTACTTATGATTCTGTGTTCTTCAAGTTTGTATCTTCCTGGTCGAATTAACTTATTGTAAGTCGCTTTGGATAAAAGCGTCAGCTAAATGCAATGTAATCAAATCAAATCAAATCAAATCAAGGTTTATTTATAAAGCACATTTAAAGGCGATTTTTGGTCGGGCCAAAGTGCTGTACATGTAATAACTACAATCACATAAAAACACATTTCTATAATCACAATAAAAGACAATAAATTACAACAGATATTTAAAAAGAAAACACAGGGTTAAAGTCAGGAGTCGTGCTCCGCTCTGACTAAAAGGCCAGGGAGAAGAAGTGTGTCTTAAGAGTAGATTAAAAAAAACCTAGGGTCTGGGCCGACCTCACATGGAGGGGCAGAGTGTTCCAGAGCCTAGGGCCAGCTGCTGCGAAGGCTCGGTGCCCTCTGGTTTTGAGCCTGGTCTTGGGCACTACCAGCAGCAGCTGCTCAGCAGACCTTAAAGGTCTGGCTGGGGTGTAGCGCTGGAGGAGTTCTGCTATATAGGCCGGAGCCAGCCCATTTAGGGCTTTAAAAACAAATAAAAGGAGTTTAAAATCAATTCGGAACCGAATTGGAAGCCAGTGCAGTGAGGCCAGAATTGGGGTGATGTGGTCACGCTTTTTGTGGCCAGTGAGTAGACGTGCAGCTGCGTTCTG